GACTGTAATTCTCAGACTAAAGAATAGTACCTGGCACACAGTGGGTGCTCAGTAAATATCCGCCCAGTAAACAATGCAGAGCTAAAGAAGGACAGCAATTATTATCCTTCAAAACAGGAAAAGTCTGAGTCACTTCCTGCCTGAGAAGCCAGAAGAGGGTTTTGCTCTCTGAAAGTACAGTAGTGGATTCTGAAGTAGGAATCAAGTTAAGCAGAAACACTGATACACATGACTTTAAAAACTATTAAGTTTTCATTGTACTTTTTCTTCTCACAAAGGACTCTAGAATAATAGAATATACAGATAAGGAAAGAGAAGAAATATGTTAAAAAAAATATTGTTATGACACAGGTTTATAATTTTTCAGATGATTATGCATGCCATACAATTAACATATACATATTTCTTTTACAGAAACTGGAACCATACCATTTTGTAATTTTTTTGCTTTGTCACCAGATATTCCCCTGCCACATTATTTCAATAACAATGTACAGTACACCAAATGGATGTACACTGATTTATTTACCAACATCCTTGTTACACATTAAGAAAATATTGCAGTGCACATGTGATACCCATCACAATAGAATACTTAATAGATTAAAGTGATCTCTCAACTATAAAGAACTTGCCTTACGTTACTTTTCCCTAAGTAGCAATGGGACTGACATCATTCACTGGAGAGAGAGGAGGAGTCTGTGTCTGCCCAGGGCAATGCTAACTGGCTGGTGAAGAAACAAAACCCATGGTTCTTGGGATTTGGGCAACAAAGAACACATTGTTATAAGAAAATCGCGCCATTGCCCTCCAGCCTGGGTAACAAGAGCGAAACTCCATCTCAAAAAAAAAAAGAAAATCAAGTTAATTTTTTGAAGCTGAAAGGAACTTTAGAAATAGTCAATTGTTATATCCTCAATTAACTCTTGAGGCTCCTGGAGAGTTTTTTTTTGGCAGAGTCTTGTGCTGTCGGCCAGGCTGGAGTGCGGTGGCCTGATCTCCCACTCACTGAAACCTCCACCTCCCAGGTTCAAGCAATTCTAGTGCCTCGGCTTCCTGAGTAGCTGGAATTAAAGGCGTGTGCTACCACACCTGGCTAATTTTTGTAACTTTAGTAGAGACAGACATTCACTAGTAGAGATGTTGGCCAGGCTGGTCAACTCCAGACCTCAAGTGATTTGCTCGCTTCCATCTCCCAAAGTGCTAAGATTATAGGCATGAGCCCCGAATCCAGTCTAAATGTTTTTTTTGCTAAAGCTAAATTTTTGATCTCCTCTTAGATCTCCTCACCTTGTACTATTGGTAGGTTTCTGCAATCACACAGAGGTTTAATACTTTTATAATTCAAGACTCTACGTAAATGGGACTTTGGTCCCCGCAACCACATTCTAAGTTCAAGTGCAGCTAACTTATGCAGGGCTTTCAACAGCATGATCCTAGCTGCTTCTGCAACCCTTAGCTAAAAGTCCCCATCCAAACCTAGAAAACATGCTAAGTGAAAGAAGCCAGACACAAAAAGCCACGTATTGAATTATTCCATTTACATAAAATGTCCAGAATAGGCAAATCCATAGAAACAGAAAGTACATTCGTGGTTGCCAGGGCTGAGAGAAAGGGAATTGGGAGTGACTGCTTAATGGGCATAAGGCTTCTTTTTGGGGTGATGAAAATACAAATGGTCTCTGACTTATGATGGTTCCGTTTGGCTTAGGATGTTTCAACTTTACAATGACGTAAAAGTGAGACACATTCAGTAGAAACCATACTTCAAGTACCCATACAATCATTCTGTTTTTCACTTTCAGTATAGTATTCAGTAAATTCCATGAGCAATTCAACACTTTTAAAATATGTAAAATAGGCTTTGAGTTAGATGATTTTGCTCAACTGTAGGCTAATGTAAGTGTTTTGAGCACATTTAAGGTAGGCTAGGCTAAACTGTGATGTTTGGTAAATTAGATGAAACAAATGCAGTTTTGACTTTTTTTGAGGGGGGAAGATGTAATTCCATTGTAAATTAAGGAGCATCTGTATTCTATAATTAGATAGTGGTGGTGGTTGCACAGTATTGTGAATATGTTAAACAATCACTGAATGCACACTTTAAAATGGTAAATTTTACCTTATTTGAATTTTATCTCAAGTGAATTAAAAAACAAAAAACTGTCCTGCCTATGTCAATGAAGATAAGAGACAGAACAATCAGATGGGTTAGTGGAGACTGCTTAAAGAGTTGCCCCATTGTGAACTCTTCCTGGGAAGGACATGCAGTACCTCCCACAGAGTACCCACATTCTATCTCCCCATTTCCAGCCAAGTGAAGGGAGCATCCAGAGAAACAAACCACAAGCTGACATATGTCTCCTAAAGTTCTGAAAGCACAGAAGCTGGAGTATGAGTTCTAAGTTTCCCCTGAAAATGTGTCTCCATTTAATGAAAGACATAGGTTTGGGTGAGAGATCTGGTTCTATGACAAATCTTGGACAGTTTACAAAAACCAACTGGAGCAGACCAAGAGAACAGGATGCTGTAGGAGCTGAGTGCACTTCCATAGTTGGTGGGCAAAGATATGTGTTTCTTGTGGGTTCAAGCTAAGTTACACCGTAAAAATCCTATTAAGAGTGCTGCCCGCCAGAGTGAGGAGATTCCACAGGAAGCTCCTGCATGCAGCAATCAGGGACCGCACTGAACTCCATCATCAAAGAACACCCAGCGTGTCTCACGCCAAAAGGAGAGGGAACAAGATATCCGCCAGTGTATAAATTCCATCTGATTATAGGAGGCATGCTAGAATCAAAGGAAATAAAGAATATGAAAGCCCTTCTTCAGACATAAAATGCTATTGAAGTGTTAATTATTGTAAAAATGACTTAGAATCATCAAACATATGCTATTAACATTTTCTTGTCTCCTATCTCTAATTCTTTAAGTGTTTGATTACAACCTGAGATAATTCTGGAAATCAGAAGGCTAGACAGAACTCCTGCAATTTCACCAACTCAAATCACTGCCTCCAGGCAGAAGGTATTTCCAAACCCAGCTAGACACTCACGTGACCACACACCCTTCTTAGCATACTAGTTTCAGAATTATGTCCAGTGTCAAGCCACATTCTACTATCCTTTGGAGTCATTACCTAATGGTCAAAAATGCCAATGTATTATGCCATGGGGAAGAGGCCAGAGGAATATCTATCGCATCCTATTTTAAATTCCTGAGAAGGCAACTCAACCATCTGTCTTGGCAACCCATTCTAGGTTGGAAACACCCTGGCAGAAATGCCTGTCTTCTGTTTAATCTAAATCCTTCAAATAGAACCTTGAGATAATTGCATCCCATTTCATTTTCAAATAATTTGGAACACAGTTGTTTACCATCTGAGTTATGGGATTATATAATGTCACAGGGCTGTGGAGAGCAATAAATGATGTACCTCAGTGTCTGGCACAGTGTAATGGCTGTGAAAACACATAATAATGGCTCACTACATATTTATTATTACCATCATTACATGTGTTAGGACTCTGTCCATCACAAGTGACATACTCACAACTCAAAATAATTTAAACTAATAAAGGGGGGTGAGGTAGAAAATATAATTAAAAAGGAAGTAAAAATATCCAGTAGCCTTCAGGTACTACCAGATCCAGGACTCAAATAATGTTGGCAGGGCTCTTATTTCCCTTTCTTCCCACTCGTTTTTAAGACAAGCTTTTAAAGTATAAGATAAGGACAGCAACCAGCAGATTCAGGTGGGATAAACCATATCTTAACCACTTTGAATAGGTTCTCTATTCATCAGTTCATGTATCAAAAATTTATTGAATGTTAATGTTAAGCGGGGTTCTAGGAGCTGAGAATACAGCAATGTCCAAGACAGATAAAACTGCTGCCCTCTTGGAATTTACCTTCTAGTGGAAAGAGGGAATCTGTTAGAAGAAAGGAAAGGGATGCTAGAAAGATAAAAATGTTATCCTCCACAAAATAAGATCATATCTTATACCTTAAGGTCAACTCTTGTCTTTCTTTCCTCCCAGCTAGTAAACTCAATCCATTTACAACCTTCTTCCCCTTCACCAATATGTGAAACTCCCCAGATCAGGTCTTCGAATGGATATATAGCCTTGTCTATGGATTTTGAGTGCATTTAGTTTACTTATGCTGTGTAATCTCTGCATAGTGTTTCTAAGATATGCCTGTAGCTATAATAAAAAAAAAAACCTTTCTGTTTCTGTTTCTCTGAATCACTTATTCTTTTTAGACTATTTTTGCACTAAATACAGGTCTTTCTTCTGCCTCCATGGTTTCCTTTAAATAGGATGTTAATTAGTAAAATCCTACAAAAACCTGGTCCTTTATTAGTCATTTAAAAAGTATACCTCTGAGCAATTTTAATTCTATTCCTCTGTGTTAACCATTTTAACTCTATAAAATTGAAAGCCAGGAGACCACGTTTTTTGAGAACTGCCCCCCAACCCCCAGGAAGTGTGGCCTAATACTAGAAAATCTCAACCTCTGCCTCTCCCCTGGAAGTGCACAGTGAGGAATGCTTGCATGAAGCATTTAGGCTGTATTCTTATGATAAAATTCAAACAATTCTATTTAAATTAGGCGTTGTTCTAACAGATCTGACCGACCACAGCAATCAGTCATGGACTTCGTAGAAAACGACTTTCACTAAATTCAAGATTGCGCATCACTAAATTCAGGATTGCTCAAGTGAAAAGGTGCGGGGGGGGGGGCGGGGAGGCGAGGAAGAGTAGGTTGTCCTCATCATTTTTATTTTTAAGTAATATTACAAGTTATCTGTCTTGCTTCAACTATTTTCTAAATTTGGTTGCTTTTCATTCTACTGTGGTTGGCATCTTTTTTTTCAGGGCAGTAATTTCTTTCTTTTAATCCCAATATAATAGCCAAATCAGCCTTTTGGCTCCATCAAATCCCAGCGTTAAAACTTATCTTGGAATTAAACAAAAATGGATTTTTAATCTTAGAGCTCATCAGCCTCATAGCCTCCACCTCATTACTGAATCACCCTTTCCGGTTTGCACCTTCCGTGACTGCTGAACCAAAGTCCGCTGGTTGGCGGCGGCGTCTCTGGAAGGGATGCAGAGCTTCTGCGCACAGGCCCCTTAAGTCCCTGTCCCGCGCGCGCCAGGAGCACGCTTGCAAAAGACGGGAAGGTGTCGGGGACAGAGAAAGAGAAGAGACAGAGAGAGAACGAAAGAAAAAGGAGAGAGAGAAGAGGGAAAGGAGAAGAAAGAACACAGAAAAAGAAACAAAGGTCTGCTTTGGGTTACTATTATTATTATTATTTAGGTTAATACCCTTATCTTTGCACACCAGCCCGAAGGTCGACCCCAAGCCTTCTTCCCTGCCCTCCTGCTTCTTGAATTGGACGCCATCCCTGTTCCGCCTCCAGAGTTAGGAAAGGGACAGAACTTTCTGAGGGAGGTGAGGGATGTCCCCGCGGCGTTTTGCCGGTTACTTCCTCCCAGCAGGGATCTCTGTGGAGAGGAAACGTTCCCTACTTCCCTCTCCGGGGCCTCCTCCCCAAGTGCGAGCGGGGATGTCAGGCTGCTTCTGGGTTTATTTTATAAACCCTGACAGTCAACTGCACTTGGCGCCAGCAAAGCCTCCATGGCCCTCGCCCCAGAGCAAAGCTCTAAGAGGTCGGAGGATACCATGGTCTGGGTGGCGATATGGGTCTCCGAAGGCGAGATTCCCTCCCTCGGTGGCTGGCGCGTCCCCTTTACCCTTCCTCGACCCCATTCTCTCCCGGCTTGGAGCTGGACGAACTGACGTAATTGGTAGGCGAGCAGGTGGGGCGTCTTGACCCCAGGACTAGAGTCTGGGCCTCGGGTGTGGAGCCCTGCCTCCTCCCCGCTCTACTCGGCTGTTCCAGAGGTCCGGGTGGGAGTGGGAGGAGGAAGGCGGCAGGAGGCGGCGAGGCCACTGGGCGGGATGAGGGGGCGCCGGCCGCCTCTCGGATTGGCTGCGCCGCGGCCCCCTCCGTACCGCGCGCCCCCCACCACGCTCCCAGCCGGCTGCCTCCCGCAAGCTCCGAGCTGCTGCCCGCAAAAGGCAGGACGCGCCGAGTTGGGACCGGGCCCCTAGCCCGGTTCCCGGCCCCGGGCGCGCGGGAACCCCGGGTCCTGCAGCCTCCCGAGCGCGGAGAGGCGGGGCCGCCCGCTCCCGCCTGGCTGCCCGCGCCCTGTCCCGCGGCCCCAGCTAAAGGAGCGGGACGCCCTGCGTGCCGGCACTCGGCTGCTAGAGCGCCGAGCCGGTACCTTCAGCCTGCGATGAGAGGATCCCGGGAGAGACCCCGGGAGCCCACGGAGAGCTTGGCTGCTGCGCCCAGGGTTGCTGCTGCCGCCGCGGCTGCTTGAAACTCCTCAAAGTTGAGAGCTGGCGAGAGACTGCCGCCCGCCGGGAGCCTGAGGGAAAGGAAGTCGGAAGGTGCAAGAGCGACAGACACTGACGCGCAGACCTTCGGAAAGCACCGCGTCGGCAGCCTCCCCGGAGCCAGCCAGGCTCCCCAGCTCTGTGAGTTATTTTCTGGATGGGTGCTTGCTAAGTCTTTCCGTTTAATTGTTTGTAGGCTACGTTTGCGTATAGTTGTGTCTGTTGAAGGGAGTTAAAAATAACAAAAACGCAGGCTGCACCTTGGGAAAAAAATGAGTTTCTGATGGTGGGTGAGACGGTGGGTTGTATGGAGAGAACGTGACTGTAAATGTCTATTGGCAGGACTAACCCAGGAAATAATACATTTAACAGTAAAGAGGAAACACAGAGCTCCCCAGTGTGAAATAAAACCCATTTCAAAAGTTATTAGAAAGTAAGGTATGGCTCTTATGGGCTAACTAGTGGTAGTCAACTTCTGCTTTTTACCCCCTCCTAAATATTGTTTGCCAGGTTCACTGGTGGGAGGCTGAGCCGGTGGGAAAGACACCGGGAAGAGACTCAGAAGCGACCATAATGTGGTTACGTGTACACACTCTGCCCACCCTGCTTGGAGCCGTGAGACCGGGCTGCAGGGAGCTGCTGTGTTTGCTGGTGATCACAGTGACTGTGGGCCCTGGCGCCTCTGGGGTGTGCCCCACTGCTTGCATCTGTGCCACTGACATCGTCAGCTGCACCAACAAAAACCTGTCCAAGGTGCCTGGGAACCTTTTCAGACTGATTAAGAGACTGGACCTGAGTTACAACAGAATTGGGCTTCTGGATTCTGAGTGGATTCCAGTATCATTTGCAAAGCTGAACACTCTAATTATTCGTCATAACAACATCAGCAGCATTTCCACGGGCAGTTTTTCCACAACTCCAAATTTGAAGTGTCTTGATTTATCGTCCAATAAGCTGAAGACGGTGAAAAATGCTGTATTCCAAGAGTTGAAGGTTCTGGAAGTGCTTCTGCTTTACAACAATTACATTTCCTATCTTGATCCTTCAGCGTTTGGAGGCCTCTCCCAGTTGCAGAAACTCTACTTAAGTGGAAACTTTCTCACACAGTTTCCAATGGATTTGTATGTTGGAAGGTTCAAGCTGGCAGAACTCATGTTTTTAGATGTTTCTTATAACCGAATTCCTTCCATGCCAATGCACCATATAAATTTAGTGCCAGGAAAACAGCTGAGAGGCATCTACCTTCATGGAAACCCGTTTGTCTGTGACTGTTCCCTGTACTCCTTGCTAGTGTTTTGGTATCGTAGGCACTTTAGCTCAGTGATGGATTTTAAGAACGATTACACCTGTCGCCTGTGGTCTGACTCCAGGCACTCGCGTCAGGTACTTCTGCTCCAGGATAGCTTTATGAATTGCTCTGACAGCATCATCAATGGTTCCTTTCGTGCGCTTGGCTTTATTCATGAAGCTCAGGTGGGGGAAAGACTGATTGTCCACTGTGACAGCAAGACAGGTAATGGAAATACCGATTTCATTTGGGTGGGTCCAGATAACAGACTGCTAGAGCCGGATAAAGAGATGGAAAACTTTCACGTGTTTCACAATGGAAGTCTGGTTATAGAAAGTCCTCGTTTTGAGGATGCTGGAGTGTATTCTTGTATTGCAATGAATAGGCAACGCCTGTTAAATGAAACTGTGGACGTCACAATAAATGTGAGCAATTTCACTGTAAGCAGATCTCATGCTCATGAGACATTTAACACAGCTTTTACCACTCTTGCTGCTTGCGTGGCCAGTATCGTTTTGGTACTTTTGTACCTCTATCTGACTCCGTGTCCCTGCAAGTGTAAAACCAAGAGACCGAAAAATATGCTACACCAAAGCAATGCCCATTCATCGATTCTCAGTCCTGGCCCCGCTAGTGATGCCTGCGCGGATGAACGGAAGGCAGGTGCAGGTAAAAGAGTGGTGTTTTTGGAACCCCTGAAGGATACTGCAGCAGGGCAGAACGGGAAAGTCAGGCTCTTTCCCAGCGAGGCAGTGATAGCTGAGGGCATCCTGAAGTCCACGAGGGGGAAATCTGACTCAGATTCAGTCAATTCAGTGTTTTCTGACACACCTTTTGTGGCATCCACTTAATTTGTGCCTATATTTGTATGATGTCATAATTTAATCTCTTCCTATTTAACTTTGTGTGTGCTCTGCAAAATAAACAGCAGGACAGAAATTGTGTTGTTTTGTTTTTTGAAATACAATTAAAAGTTGTAGAAAGAAGAATCAAGCATCAATTAATTATAAAGCCTAAAGCAAAGTTAGATTTGGGGATTATTCAGCCAAAATTGCCATTTCAGACCAGAATGAATAGACGACACTGATAAAATGTACTGGATAATGCCACATCCTATATAGTGTTATATAAATAGTGCAAGGAAAGTACAACTGTTTGCCTGTCTTCTTTTCATTCTGTGCATTCTTTCCATTCTGTATCTTTGTACAAAAGATTTCATTAAAAACTTAAAGTCATCATAATTTGTTGCCATAAATATGTAAGTGTCAATACCAAAATGTCTGAGTAACTTCTTAAATCTCTGTTCTAGCAAACTAATATTGGTTCATGTGCTTGTGTATATGTAAATCTTAAAGTATGTGAACTATTAAATAGATCCTATTGTACTGTGCTTTGGACATCTGAATTGATGTAAATACATGTAATCTGTGACTTGATGTTTTATTTGGCTGCTTAAAAACATAAATCTAAATGTTTTATGTTCTCAGATTATGCTATTTTATATAAAGCACCACTGATAGCAAATCTCTCTCTAATATTCTTATAGTAAAGTTTATTTTTTTAAGGGGGAGGGGAAGGGTTTAATGTGTTCTAGACCAATTTGTAACTTCTCTATGACACTCTACTCTGATATCATTACGCACTTTAACCAGATTCAGAAAACATTTAAACTCTTATTTTGCAACAAGTGAGAGCCCAGGAGACCTCCTTATTATACCGTCTCTACTATGAGGCAATCAAGTCCCCTTTCTGAACCTAGGTTCCCCCAGCTGTAAAACAAAGGTTTCAGACCAGATGGTGATTAAGGTTTCTCCCCATACTGGAATGAATGATTTCTTGGTGGTCTTAGCATCATCAGAGACCTATACTGGCTTTCTGAGACTCTACCATACTGAAGGAATGCAGGAATGGGATTAAGATAGACCAGCATAGCAGTGTACAGTTCGAAGGGCCGTTCCACATCATCACTCCAGCTCCTTCTCTTTTCTCAGGGACAAATGAGGCCCAAAGAGAATATGACATGTATAAGATCAAACAGTGGCAAGGATAGAAGGAGAGCTGGAGTTTAGCATTCTCCCTGGTGAAGATCAGAGGTCCAAAGAAACAACTCCTTTTCAAGGAATGGGCATAGAGAAGGAACCAAGGATTCAGATAAAAAGTGATCAAAACATGGCAAAGGAGAATCAAGGATTTTCCTTTGGGAAAATATTGCAGAAAAGTAGATAATGATGGAAGATCAACCACTTACTTTGGCAGTAGTGATTTTCTGTGAATGAATCAGTAATATTAATAGTAATAACAATAATAATGGATACATGGTGAGAACTCCCTAAGTGCCATGTGGGACTTTCAGTGGCAGACTGGACAGCGGGAAGTTAAGGAACAAGTAGCCAGTAAGTGTCCTTTTGGGAAACAGGATGTAGACCTGCTGCTCAGTAGCATTGAAAATGCCATATTGGATGGTGTTGAAAATTGCTAACACCTCTTAAACACGGACCTCACCCTTTGGACAATATCCTTCAGAGCCAGAGATGTTACAAGCAAGCATTTTATTCTGCTTACTGCCATTAAAATAATTAGGAAGAATTCTGTAACTTGTAGGACCTTAGAAATCATCACCTCTTCTTCTTTTATAGAAAAGCAGACTCAGGAAATGTTGTGTTTGTTTAGGATCATACTGCTAGTCTGGACACAAGGAAAGCCACTTGATCCATGAAAGCTCTCCAGCAATGGAAGGGCTGCCACAAGGGTCCATGAATATTCTGGGAGTGTGATAGAGCTGAGACTATCCTCTCACAGGGAAGTTGGAAAGATGATCCCTGAATTAAATCTTTTTCGGAAGGGATCCCTAAGGGTCTTCGATTCCTCAAGTCCTTGATCCTATGAAAATAAATGTTGTATTTGGCAAGGAACTATGAACAGTATTAAGAGTAGGGAGTGGCTCTCTGGCAAAATGATAGGATGAGCTGAGACAGAAACTAAGATTCTTGTAACTAAAACCAACCAACCAAACAAACAGAAAATTCCGAATACTGGAAAGCAAATCTGTGTTTTGAGCAAAAGTAGGAAGGCATGTTGATAAAAAATAAAAGTATAAAACTGAATGTTGTGACGTAGAATTTTAAGTTCTTGGATGCATCAATTTTTTTTATAAGAGCCTGATCACATATATTTTAAATATAGGAACAAAAGTAATTTATTCTTTTAAAATGTATTTCACTGAGACCTTTTATATAGTTTTCTTTCCAAGTAATAATCTGGACTTATGTAACTGGGTTATTTTTTAAGCCACTTAGTATTTTTTATTTTATAGTTGTGAGATGTGGAAACTCACTGGAGAAATCAATCAAAGATCATAGAAGTGAAATTTTCCAAGGCTTAGAGTATTTTTGCATTATAACAAAGATACTGGGTCCACTATTCTCTGTGTACATATGATAATATATTCTATAGTTGTGAGTTAAAATTTTAAACACACTTTCAAGATCTAGAATCTGAAAGAAGGACCTAAAATATTTTCTTATTTATAATCAATTTCTGCATTACTCTTCACTGCTTAGTCTAGACACATTAAACTGTATTCGTTTTTTAGCTTTAATTGCTTGAACTATTTGCATGGAAGATGTTTTTTATATTTAAACATTTTTCTAATGCTAATCAGAAGGGACATAAGTGAAACTTATGGGGGTGGAAACATAAGAGGAATGAGAAGACACACTACCAGTTCAAATGCCAAAAAGATATTTGATTTGGGATCATCCTGCGAAGGACTATTAAGACAGGAATACAGCCTAAGCATCCTACAGCATCATTGCTTTTCTTTTCTTTTCTTTTCTTTTCGAGACGAAGTCTCACTGTTGCCCAGGCTGTAGTGCAGTGGCATGATCTTGGCTCATTGCAACCTACGCCTCCCAAGTTCAGGCAATTCTCCTGCCTCACCCTCCTAAGTAGCTGGGATTACAGGCATGTGCCACCACACCCAGCTAATTTTTGTATTTTTATTAGAGACGAGGTTTCACCACATTGGTCAGGCTGGTCTCAAACTCCTGACCTCGTGATCCATCCGCCTCGGCCTCCCAAAGTGCTGGGATTACAGGCATGAGGCACCACACCCGGCCCATTGCTTTTCTTTTGCCATAACTGTTGCTAGCTTGGTGTCACCTTCCAGTGTCATCTGGTTTACCAAATGATCTAGCAGTAGGTTTAAAACTAGGCTTTTCAATAGACGTCCAGGGAAAAGTTAAACAAGCAAGAGTTTCCAGCAGCTACCCCCTGCACACTTCTCAACCAAAGATTCTGATTCAAGAAGTTTGGGATAAGGACTGTCCAACTATTTTTTAAAAACTTTACTGTGACATTCTGATTCTACCTATTTTGATGAAACAGATCCTGAAATGGGACCATAGCAAATTGTGTATTTGAGGCTATGTCCAAATACATTCCTCTTACTCAATAATAGATTTATTAATAAAAATAAAAATCTTAGCCCTCTAAAAATATTCTCATATGTTAGAAAAACAGAAGAGTTTGATTCACGGACACTAAATGAAACATGGAGTAAATTGGCCATAATTTATGACTTATATTTTCTAAATTGGGGAACATAGAATAATTACTTTGAGATTACTATATCCCTGATTCTTTCATTTGTTAAAACTATTTTTAGTTTGAAGCAGCTATAACAGATTGGGATCCTAACAATGAACTTTGGAACTTTCAAATTTGATTAGATTATAGTAAAGTGAGGACATATTCCAAGGATGTTTGAGTGCAGATTTCATCTACAGAGAAGCAAACTCTTCGCTTTTCCAATATATTAGAATAATAGTTTTTAAAGAAAGCACAAGATTCTGTTCATTGTTCTCTCATTTCTCCCTGCTCAAGAGTCAGACCCCCAATTCATGATTTAATTTATTATAATATGAACGTTAGTGTGGAAAGATGATTAATTTTCCCTTGCAAGTATTATTGGGTGGTAATATATAAAAAGTAGAACTAAAAACCATTATAAAAACCTCCCGAATAATTGAGAGGACTGCTTAAGCAACTATTGTTGCTTGTGGATAGATGCCAGGGAAGGAAGCTCTTTTACAATAAGGACCAGAGCATGGAAAAATAGACACTTTGTTAGTTTTAAAGTGTGCATATGGCATTTATAGTGGTTTTAACTTATTAAGCACCTACTAAACACCAGGCACACTGTGTGAGATCGTTCTTATTATCATTCCTTGCTATAGTAGCCTTAAAAGATGATAAATACTACTCTGTTACATATAGTAAAAAGCAATTCAGAAAGAATAAATCATTTTCCCAGGTGACCCAGTTAACAAGCTGTTTTTATCATGATAATCATTTAAAAAATATCTCTCCACAGTACCCACATAGACGTTTAACCAATAGAATGACTTTATAAAGCATGAGTGGAAGGAAACTCTCTATAAATGTAAGAGTTGAATGAACTAAGCTCACAGCACATCTGGGGAGAAGAGAAATGGAAGGTCAGGAGATTATAAATTATAATATAGGTGAACATGGTTTTTTTTTTCCTATAAAATACAATGTGTTACTAGTAGCAAAAGTTGAAATCTATCTTAGAAGAGATGAACTTGATAGACCAGTCCTTCTCCAGTCTATTGGCTCTTTTTAGTCCAGTTGCACTTCACACATGAAATTGCCTAATATACAACATAAATGTCTGCTCTATCATTATAAACTATATATCAAAATAATTAAATGAATAAATGACTAATTCCAATACTTTAAAATTAGAACATGACCCAAATTTATGGGTAAACGTTCTATTTGAGGGAATATCAGATAATTTGTTTTCAATTTCTTGGAAAGTAGCAGAGACAAGTCAGACTGCATGAGAGATTTTTTCCAACTAATTTAAAAAATATATTTCTTAAGATAATTTTAAAATTATTTCACAAGGTAGCCTCACTAGCTTACTTGATTAAACTTCCCAATGAGGTTAGCAGAGTGTCAAATATACTTTTAAAAAATTTTTGTAGTGTCCGCAGGATTCTAGGGTCATGGAGTAAAAAATCTAGGATCGAGGGTGATCACACTGGTGATGAATCGCCAGTAGTAACCCAGAGAAGATTATTAGGCATTGCTAGATACTGTGGAAGCCATAAATGATGTATAATAACCACTTTATCCTCTTAAAGGAGATTACAGTACAGCTGAGACTGTAAACAAATAAACCTATTCAAAAGGAATGAAGAGTTAATCTATTTGTAACTATAATGGCCAATAGGAGGTGAGAAAGGAATATACTCAGAGATATTGTTTTAACCAACTGGGCTAATGTGATACAGGTTTAAATACTATATAACCATCCCACAAATGCCATGAATATTACCGTAGCTAGATCTTGACCTGTAGCTAGCTTCTGTTTTAGGGTTATACATTACCATTCTTGATCAGATCTAGAGGAGACAGGGACCTTAAAATTTTGCGCTGGTTCTCTATCTACACCCACTTCCATACAGTTAGGCTGAAATCTTCTAAATGTGTCCTAGCCATG